AGATACGAAGACTGAAAGAGAGGAAGAAGATTCCAGAGAGACAACCACTTGCTCATGGGTGAGGGAGGAGGAGGGTAGGTTAGTGAGTCGCCCTGTGCCAACGGGTGCGACCCGGCCATCTCACCTGAGAACCCCAGTATACCAGCAATACGGAACAAGCAGCCACGGGTGCAAGGAAGAAAGGAGAGCTAGCCAGGAGATCTTGGAGGTCTTCTAGTCCAGCCCCCCACTCAAGCAGGAGAACCTATACCATTAAAGACAAGTGACTGTCCAGTCTCTTCTTAAAAACCTCCAGTGATGAAGCACCCACAATGTCTGAAGGCAAGCTGTTCCACTGGTTAATTGTCCTCCCTGTTAGGAAGTTTTTTCTTAGTTCCAGGTTGCTTCTCTCCTTGATTAGTTTCCATCAATTGTTTCTTGTCCTTCTCTCTGGTGCTTTGGAAAATAAGTTGACCCCCTCCTCTTTGTTGCAGTCTCTCAAATACTAGAATACTGTTATCATGTCCCCCTAGTCCTTCTTTTCTCTAGACTAGCCAAACCCAAATCCTGCAACCGTTCTTCATATATTTTAGTCTCCAGGCGTTTAATCATCTTAGTTGCACTTCTTTGTACTTTTTCAATAATAATAATAATAATAATTAATAATAATAATAATAATAATAATAATAATAAATGTTTATTATTAATAATAAATATTAATAAATATTAATAATAATAAAGTTGGAAGGGACCTTGGAGGTGTTCTAGTCCAACCACCTGCTCAGGCAGGAAGTTTCCACAACTTTTTGTAATGTGGTGACCAAAAGTGGATGCAGTATTCCAGGTGTGGTCTTACTAAGGCTTTACAAAGCAATACTAATACTTCATATGATTTTGATTCTATGCCTCTGTTCATACAACCAAGGATTGTATTAGCTTTTTTGGCTGCTGCCACACACTGTTGACTCATGTTTAAATGATTGTCCATTAGGACTACAAGTTCCCTCTCACAGTTACTGTTTTTGAGCAGGTTACACCTAATTTGTACTTGTACCTTTGGTTTTTTTCCTGCCTAAGTGTAAAACCTTACTTTTTTCCATATTAAATTTCATTTTGTTGGATAGGGCCCATTGTTCAAGTGTGTCAAGATCTTTTTGCATCCTCAGCTTTTCTTCTGGGATGATGGCTATTCCTGCCAGCTATTGTCTTCTGGGATGATGGCTATTCCTGGGATGATGGCTATTCCTGCCTGCAAATTTGATGAGTACCCCTTCTATTCCCTCCTCTAAGTCATTTATAAAGATATTGAAGAGTATTGGGCCTAAGACAGAACTTTGTGATACCCCACTGCTTACTTACCTCCATGTAGNCCCATAGACTGACCGTTTAAGCCCTGATGATGTCAGCAGAATGCTGACGAAAGCTTGGCGTTTGGTACTGTAACATTAAACTCCTAGAGTTTGATTATTTTACCCTGGTGTTCGTTTTATTTTATTTGTTTGGCATGGATGCACCCAGGGATCATATATTCAGTTTAATTACCAATATATATATATATATATATATATACATAAATACGTATAATCTAATAGTCTAATAGTCTCTTTGAAATTGGTCATTCGGGTTTTCTCCCGTGTAAGATTAGAAGTATCATAGCGACGTTTCGATGAAATCACATTCATCATCATCAGGCTTGTGCTTTTAGCTTTGTGCTTCTCAGTGTAATATGAAATGTCTGAATATATATATATATTCATATTTTTAAAGGAGATACTCACCAAATAATCATTGTTGTCATTCATTCTGCGGTAACCAGACAATTAGAAAATTCCATGCTTATAAGTCAGATAAATCTTTAAGGTGTTATTATTTAGAAATCATAGAAATAAAAGTGTTATTTCTTGCTATTAATATTGGTATTCAAGATATAGTTTTCATTGGTATTCAAGATAGTGTTCATTTGCAGATCCATTATGGTGACAGATATTAACATTGTAGTTGGCATGATCAGAATAAGCAGAATCAAATACGTTTTACAAGTTATTTTTAATTTGAGTTGTTTGCTTTTTTTCCCCTCAGACTACAACAGCTGATCAGTTGCTTGAGTTTTTCAAGCAAGTTGGAGAAGTAAAGTTTGTGCGGATGGCAGGTGACGAAACCCAGCCAACACGCTTTGCCTTTGTGGAATTTGCTGACCAGAATTCTGTACCTAGAGCTCTTGCCTTTAATGGAGTTGTGTTTGGAGACAGACCATTGAAGTAAGAAAAACACACTTTTATAATCAATTTCTAACAACATTAGCCAGAATGGAAAGAGTTTGTAAGAGTTGTAGTCCAAAACATCTGGAGAGTATTAGGTTGCCTATTTCTAGCATAATACATACATACATATTCTTCATAGGAAAATTCATATGCATTTCCACAAAATGTGTGCAAGTCCCATGGGTTTACATAAGCAATATATTGCACACGCTTAACAAATAGTTCTGCTGTATGTCTATGAGGAAAATGCAAATGTTTTTATTGGTAACTCATTGACTTTACTCAAAATGAAACAAGTAATACATTTGCTATAATTAGTTAATAAATAGCCTTTGGACAGAAGCCCAACTTATAAGTTGGGGATTTAGCACAGAGAATTTGGTCGGCCTGTGGGAAGTTGAAGTTCATACTTGCCATCTCCAACTATAAATATTTCATAAAATGTGAATGGAAAAATGCTTTTATGAAAATCTGAGAGAACACTCCCACTGCGTATATATTATACTTTCATAAAGGCAGCTGCTAAATTGAGACCCAATTCTGTACTACATTGATAGGGTCCTGTTCTGTGCTAGAGATCTTGGACAATTCACTGTACTGATTGAGAGTCTTGGAAATTGTAGGCTCTCTGGAAAGCACCATGTTAAATGCTGTAAAACTTAGATATCTGTCTCTTTAATTTAATTTAGAGAATAAAGGCATATTTTGAAAAATCAGATCAGAGGCTTCATTTTTGTTTTCATCTTATTTGTACAGGGATAGGCAACTGGCCACAAACATCATTCCCACATTCTCTTTTACATTCAAGAAGTGTTCTCTTAATATCTAATAAAATTTAAAGTGCTATGCTAATTTAATATTTTGCTTGGATCTCATCAAAAGGAAGCAGTAGGCTGAAGCTAAATTGTATCTTGATAGTCAAAGTGCCTCTGGGCTTTGGATAGATCTGCATGCATTCTTAGGAAATTAAGAAGGTGGAGAGAAAAGGAAGCTTAGGAGAGCAATAATGTAACAAAAGAATTAGATGTGATCTAGTTAAATTAGAGAGTGATGGAAAGGATTAAGGAGTTATGGGATTATGATTTGACAGAAGGGAAAGAAAAAAAAAACATCTGAGTTCAAAGGTATTTTACTAGCAGGTCTCAGGTCTATCTTGTACCATGTTTTTCAAATTAGTTTTCTATATTGTCAGCTGAGAGGAGGAATAAGCAGGGTAAGTAATTGCTAAAAGCTATAGGCTTTTATGAGGGGGGCTTGATGGCTCAGCAGTTAAAGATGCTGAGCCGACAGCCTGGGTTTGAGACCTGAGCGCTGCGCAATGGGGTGAACTCCTGTTCCTGCCCAGCTCCTGCCCACCCAACAGTTTGAAAGCAAGCAAATAAATAGGTACCACTTTGGTAGGAAGGTAACCATGTTCTGTACGCCTTTGGTGTATAGCCATGCTGGCCACATGACCACAGAAAAGGTCTTCGGACAACACTGGCTTTCTAGGCTAAGAAACGGAGATGAGCACTGTGGCCTAGAGTTGGACACCACTGGACAGGCTTTTATGTAAAATGTATCTCTGATAGTTTTAACCCCTCCCCCCTTTTAATCATAATATGCAAAAAAAGACTGATTATTCCTCACGGAATAATAAGATAAAAAAATCAGTAGTTTTATCTGTCAGATTCATTGTTTTGAAGTCTAGTCCAAACCATTTGTGAGCTAATAGAATGAGTCCATTTTCTACTCAATTGCACAATTAAAAAAAAGATAAAATAAAGCATATGCATAGATGCAGTGAAATAATTAAATAATATCTGTGGTTTAATTTAGAATAAATCACTCCAATAATGCAATAGTGAAGCCGCCTGAAATGACACCACAAGCTGCTGCAAAGGAGTTGGAGGAAGTGATGAAGAGAGTACGGGAAGCTCAGTCTTTTATATCAGCTGCTATTGAGCCAGGTAGGCTTTTCCTTGCCCTGTATTTCCACTGGGATAACTCCTGGCATGTATATTTGGTGGAGCATTTTTTTTCTTCTAGGAAACAGGGAGATGCTATCCTGGGCAGAATTCTTTGGTGGACTCAGTAATTTTGATGAGTGGTTTAGTACTTTATAATCAAGAATGTGCAGTTAAGGTACCTGATAGCACTGCTTTTTAATGTCAGAGTATTGAATAAGTTCTAATCGTTTAAAAAAAGTACTATTTTGTTGGCCCATTCTCTGGTCTCCTTAATTCTCCTTTCAGATTTTTCATTCTTCTTACTGCCTGATCTGTTTCCCTACTTTTTTCTTTCTTTTTGGACTTCTTTCTCATTATGGTTTTCAGCTCCATTATTTTGTGTTGAAGTATAACTTTTCCTGGGAACATCAATGTTTTCTTTGAGTGCAGATAAGTAATGTGCTCAGTTGTTCTGCTTTTTTACTTTTAGGTATTGGGATTTAGAGGATACTTCTACATTTATTGAAGTAGTAGTAATACCCAGAATCATCAGAAAATTATAATAATTAGAAAAAGGTCAAAACTAGCATTATTCACCTGTTCAGCACTCGCTTTTATAAAAACTACTAAAATAATCCATGCAGTTAAAATTAGTCATTTACCAGAACACGGGAAGACAAGTGACAGGCAAAGTCTAGAGATAACTTGATTTTGTAATGAAAATTACTGAAGTAGTTGGCAGATTATCCGAGAAACAAATATCAATCCATGAAATTTTCTTAAGTACCTTACAAAGAAAAAGAAATTCTGACCCTTAAAATTCTTGTCCTTATTTGAATAATATGTGATAACCTTTAAAAATGAAAGAAAACATCATACAGATTATCTTGGTAGTTTTTCTTGATATGGCTAACATCTAGTCAGTCTGTTTTCAATAAACAATGTAAAAAAAAATTAGTGACCATAAACACCATAGCCATTTAACTAAGTTTGTAGAATAGTAATGAACATACATTATGAATCAGTCTATCATTTCATTTCATGTTATTAGCTATAACATTATAAAAACTGAATGAACAAAATTTTATTTTCTTGACTCTGGTTCTAGAATTATTGCCTTTCATATAGGTTGAGTCCATTATGCTCTTAAAGATTTGAGGATTAACTACCTAATTATAGCAATGCTTTGATAGTAAAATTCCAGTGCTATTCATGTGCATTTCTGCATAGCTTTTCAAAATTCTATCAGATTTTGTGTGTTTTCTGTCTGAAATCAATTTTACCAAACATGTTTTAATCTTGTGCATTGTGGCAGCAACAAATCCCATTCCTTATTTAGCTAGCTGTTTATAATTATCTGGTTTATGTGTACTGCTGCAGGATGGCTGCACTCAACGAATATATGCAATGACTTTCTTGGATGTTTCTGAAGGATTTTTGCAAAGAAGGAAGATGTGCAGAGAGTAGGCCCCTTGCAATATATGTGGTACATTCCACTTGTGCCAGATTGTTAGCTGGGATCTTTAAATATTCTGAGCTTACACTGCAAAGTCGTTTTTTCTCTCAGAGTCTGGAAAGAGCAATGAAAGAAAAGGTGGTCGATCACGTTCCCATTCACGTTCAGAATCCAGATCTAGTTCAAAATCTCGAAGGAAAAGATCACACTCAAAACGCAGGTAAGTCTTCTACATAAGGCTTCTCTGAGATCTACAGTGAATTTGTCTTCTCCTATGTCAGCTAAGGCAGGTGTCCCCAGTTCCCAGCCGTGGCTTGTTAGGAACTGGGCTGCATAAGCAGTGGGCGAGCGCACAAAGCTTTATTTGTGCACGTGTGGGATTAGGTTACTCACACAAAACCATCCCCTCGGCTGGTGTCATCTCTGCTGCCACTGCTGCCAATTCATGGAGCCGTGAATTACAGGAGTTACAGGGATTACTGTGATACAGCTGAACCTTGTATTTTGAGATCCTTTTGTCCAGTTTAAGAAGCTAGTAAATTATGGCATGAATTTTCAGATCTTTATGCAGCCCTGAGGTGGTACCCAAATTATTGAAATTTAATATTTTCACATGCAAAGCAAATGTATTAATTTTCTCTTAATTTGTGCTAAGTTAAGTTTAATGGTGGCCATGAATAAAATTACTAAGAATCCTGGTTTATCACAACGGGTGAAAAGCTTGCAGTCCTTCTTCTTAGATATCATTATAGTATTTTGAACTGGGAACTTTGTTCTTATTCAAATATGAATTCCTTGCTTGTTGCTTGCCAATGTTCTAAGACTGCACACACATAAAAATTGTTTCTACAAATTCAATCTGGTCTAAAAGTTAAATCAAAATGCACTGATTTAGATGACAAATGGAATTTTCAGTTTTTGGTTAAGTTAGAAGGAGGGTTCTACCAAGGACGACCAAGATGAGATTGAGCCTTCTTTGTGCATCAATATTTTATTGTAGTACATAGTGTGATAGTGGTGATATATGCTACAGAAAATAAAAACAGAGAAAAATGAAAAGTGTCTCAAGATTGAAAAGTAAAATTGTTGTAGATAACCTGTGAAGTTATAATAAATATATAATGTTTTTTTTAAATCCAAAAATTCTTTAGACACAGATTTCACAAACATAATAATACATTATGAGGAAGTTGTATATGAGGATACCAAAATGCTTCCATTATAATGTTATTAAAAATGATTGTGAAAAATATCTGTCTTGATCCATAGCATTCATCCCAAGAAAGTGCCACATAGTTAATATTCATATTTGTCTCCAGCCATTTTTTTACATCCAGTAATTAATACAGTATATACTGAAATTTTAAGACCTTATTAAAAACATAAAGTATTAATAAGTAAACGTATTTCTTAAATTCTGTTCCTTCTTATCCATCAATCCACATTGTTGCTCATATGATTGAAGTTTCTCCTGTGATGGAATAGGCAGTCTAGCTTCTCCCCGAGCATGGCTGTAAGGATTATTGGTAAAATTGGCATAATTTTATTGCATAAAAATAAGCTTCATAGGTTAGTTTCTCTTCCCTTGCCCCCTTCCCAAAATGGGAGACACAAGGGTGTTACAATATATAATTAATACTAAATTCAGATGCCTTGGCTGTGCATGTTGTTTTATTATGTTGTACTTTTGGAAGAACTTTTGTAGCCCTTTTTGTAAACTGATAAATTATAAGGTTATCATCATTTGTTGCCTTTCTTATAATAATTACATTTTAGTTGCCTTTTGCTTTGAAGTTGACTTTGGAACATATTATTTGGCTTTTCGTGTTGTTTAATAATTTGTGAATGTTCTATTTTTTAAAAAAAATGCACAATAATGCAGGCAACAAAGAAGAAAACCAATATAATTTATAGCATTTAGCCTCTACAATTATTTGCTACAGGAGTAGATCCCGTGATAGATCACGCTCTAGTCAAAAGGACAGACGCAGATCCAAAAGTCCATCCAAAAAACGTTCAAAGTCTAAAGAACGCCGAAGATCAAGAAGCAGCTCTCCTTCTCGGTGAGATTACTATAATTAATACTATCACATATTTCTGATATTATCATCTTGCTATAGAATTATAATTGTATGTTATCCAACTGTATATTTAACGGTCATCACAAATGGCATGAGGATAGACCAGTTAGCATAATATTATTTTCCTTTACTGATTTTTCTATCTCTCTGCTAGATGCTATTTTGTAATTTTTCTGCCATCAGTAATTGCTGCACCCTGTTAAAAGACAAGTTTAGGAATTGAGTTTACTTGACTTGTGCTCTCTTACAGTGAATATTGGGTAAGCTGAATTAATAATTATTTTCTTTCCACAGGGAGAAGAGAAAAGAAAGCAAAGAGAGGATTAGAGAAAAAGAGAAGATTAGAGAGAGAGACCGAGATAAAGAAAAAGAGAAGGATAGAGGTAGAGAAAAGGATAGGGGCATGGAAAAAGATAGAGGCAGAGAAAAGGATAGAGGGAGAGAGAAGGAGAAGGAGAAGACCAAGGATAGAGAGAAGGAACGAATGAAAGATAGGGATAAGGAGCGAGAAAAAAACAAAGAGAAGGAGAAAGAAAAAGAAAAAGAGAAGGAGAAAGTAGCAGATATGGAAAAAGATAAGAGAGAAGATTTGGACAAAGAAGGAGAAAAGGAAAAGAGAGAGACAGAAGGAGACAAAAAGAAGGATGACAAAGAACATGTCAGAGAAAAGGAGGAACACAAAGATAAAGGAAAGGAGGGAGAGAGGGACTATGAAAGAGACAAAGAAGGGGTGAAGGCAAAAGACAAAGAAAGAGACCGAGACAGAGAAAGAGATGAAAAAAAGAAAAAGGAGAAGAGATCTAAAACACCCCCTAGAAGCTATAGTTCCTCAAGAAGATCACGTAGTTCTAGCAGGTTTGATTTTTTTTGAAGTTCCTCAGTTCATTTTCTTTAAAATTGAAATTGTAGTAAATAGTACATTTAGTGTGCATTAGTGCATACTAAGACAATGATAAGATTTATTTGACACCTATTTAATCCCTTCAGATTTGATATCTGGAGGGATTAAATTAGGGCCACATAATGAATCAATTACCATGTACTTTGATCTGTTAAATAATGAAGGATTCCAGAAATAAACCTTTGGTACTTCTAAGACAAGATTTTTCTTGTGCAAATCCCTTGCCTTGTCTTGATATTTACACATGAAGTTCATATAATCATGCAATAAACTTCCATACACAGCCTTATATATATTTGGTTATTCATCAACTGAGTAAATAGCCTCTGCTGCATTGCAAATGTTTTCTTCTTCAAAACATACCACATCAGTTTTCTTTTAAATCAACTGGACTTGTGTTAGGTTTTAATGCATTTTTATATGAATTGTATAGACAGGGCCATTATGCCAAATTATGGTTTAGCATAATGAGCACCCAGAGCAGCTTATAGAAGGCTCTCTGTTTTTCTCCAGCCCTGGAGACGTAGAATCCACCAATGGGTTAACTCTGCCTTCCTGCCCATTAGACCGGGTCAGCCAACTTGTCACGCCCGTCCAGGGGTAGCCACTCCCCATTCTTGACTAAGTCTTTAGCCCAGGTGGACGTGATAGATTGGCTCCCGGTCTAAGGTAACAGAGACTAAAATATTGGTGGATTCTACTCATCTCACTCCACAGTTACAGTAACTGTTGCTTTTGAATCAAAATGTGCACTGCACTAACTTTATAGGTGAGGTTGACTGCAATTTAAGATGTACATGATAGAGCAACCTGAGCTTAATTAAATTAGTAATTCCCACTGGACTTCCAATTTTTGATTAATGGCTCTTACAGAGATCGAAGGAAGAGGAAGAGTCGAAGTCCTTCAAAGTCTCCCAGATCGTCCAAAATCACAAAAAGGAAATCATCTAGGTCTCCATCTCCAAGGAGGTAAGTGAATAGATTTATCATGCAGAGTTTCTGTACTGTTCAGATTCTTCTGCAGTACATGCCTCTCATTAATAGCAGACAGATTAATGCAAATTGAAACATTGAACAAAGAGAAACAGAAAACATGTCTGCCTTTTGTTCTTTTACTATAATTATCTTCAAGATTTTTTTTCTTTTTAGGATATTCTAAATAATTTACCTTAAATTGTAGATATATATAATCTCCAAACTATAAATAAACAGCATTTATAATATAAATCTCTAACCATTATTGTTCCTTTGAAATATAGAATTCACTTTAAAAATAATTTTTTGTAGCAGTTGCCTGACTGGAAGTTGAAAAAACACCCTAGAAAAAAAGATAGTGGTAAAACAGTTCTTTAAAGACTGCAGAGGAAACATGTTTGAACTTGGCTTGGAGCAGTCTTTAACTTAATTGTTGTTATTGGAGCTTGCTGCAGCACATCCTAAAGCAGGGGTCCTCAACCTTGGCAACTTTAAGACTTGTGGACTTCAACTCCCAGAATTCCTCAGCCAGCAAAGCTGGCTGAGGAATTCTGGGAGTTGAAGTCCACAAGTCTTAAAGTTGCCAAGGTTGAGGACCCCTGTCCTAAAGGGATTATTAAGGCCCAGGGTTTTTTAGTTTGATGGGTACACTTTATAGATATTTTTATTGTTGTTGTAAGCTGTCCAGAGTTGTTTAATATGGGTTTAAGTTGTTTAAGATACAAATCTTCTAGACAAATAAAATTTTAAGATGACTTAAATAATTTTATTTGGGAAAGAACTAAGAGATACTTTTTTAAAAAAAAAATGCTAAATTTGACATGTATAAAACATTTTTCTATTGCTAGGTATTCTATGTTGAGCAGCATAAATTATTTAATGCAAATTTATGTGCCAATTTTGAGAATAGTTGAGGATTATTTTTATCCAGGTATCTTGAGTAAAATCTAAAATTAACTTCCCTATGTTTAAAGTAAGTATTTAGAAGAAATTGTTAAAATAAATTTTACTTTTTCTGTCATTAAATATATTAAGTACTATGAGCTTGTTGCAGTGTTATTTGTCATGAATTCAGTATTGTTTGAGGATGTGTGACTTTGCTGATTGTTCTTTAATGAATTCATATGAAAGTATCTGTAAGCATGAAATGAATCATCCTATTTACATTAGGGGGGGTATAATATTTTTTCCAAAACAGAAGCAAGAAAGAGAAAAAGACAGAGAAGGAGAGAGATATAAGTAATGATCGAAGAGAGAGGGAGAGGTCTACCTCAAAGCAAAAGAGTAGTAAAGACAAAGAGGTCAAACAAAAATCAGATAAAACCACAATTGTGAAGGTAAGCCTATTTTGATTAAGCCAATGCAATCATTGTAGAATATTTTAGGAAGACTTCAGTGCCTGCTGCCTTTCATTGGTTCTTTGGATACCTCCTGAATTTTATTTAATTACTGAACAATTCTCTTCTCAATTCCTCAGTAATTGCAGGCAAGAACAAGAAGTCATAAATACCATATTCCTTTTTTAAAAAAATAATCAAATAGTTTAGTGTGAAAGTACAAAATTTGCAGTGTTGAATTTTATTCTTTTGGGGCCTTCTCAGAATTATTCCCTCGGTAGAATGTTGTTTCCAATAGGAAGGAAAGACAACTGTTCTTAATTGCAGAAGATGAAATAAATCAGTTGTATTCAGTTTTAGCATATTTTCTAATACTGTTCTGAAGTTAATAATAAACTAAATAATATATGTGTGTAATAAGCTATCTTGAGTGGTATTTCTACAAGAAATACATTAAATAGCAATTTTAATGGTTTTGTAGCTATCTATTGTAATGAATAGGCAGACAAGTTCCCAATACCCTTTAGTGGCAGCCAGCAACCAGATAGGATTGAGTTGACTCCTCTTCTTAGCACGTAAATGGAAAGATTTCTCAAAACTTTCTCTGTAGGCTGGAAGAACGTTGATAGACATAGAAAGAGGAGGGTTTTCAGTGAGGGTTTTCAGTCACCAAAATTCTCTTAGAAGCCTATATTGAATTTTAAATATTTCTCTGTATCCTATTGAATTGTTGTCATGTAACAGTTCATGAAAGAAGATTGTGCCCACCTATTCCCCTGCCCCTCCCCTATTGTCAAAAGGTGTTTTTTTTCTTGAGTAAAATGAGCATGGAAGTAATTCCCCCTCCCCTTCCTTCACTGTTCAGAGTAGAACTCACATTTTGCATAACAAAAGGGTTGCTTTTGGACCAGGAGAAACAGTGAACCTTTCTCAGGAGCTGCAGTAGTGGTTTTGCAAGCTTGGCAAAATTAGGGATGAATTTCCTGTAGAAGTTAGCAAAGCCTAGAAAGTGCTGCAATCTTTTGCATAACAGGGAATGGCAGTGGAAATACTGCAATAGAATAGACTGCACCTTTGCTGGAAAGCACCTAAATGCTTTCTGGATATTCTATAACCCAAGTCAAATTGAGTGTGCATTTTTCTAATTTAGCAAAGAGCTTATTGTCTTGCAATTTGTGTAATATATTTCTCATATGAGTTACATGCAAGCAGGGATCTTCAGAATAAACCAAGAGGTTATCCAATAGACAATAATGTCTGCAGAAATGTTTCTTTGTGAAGCTAGCAAAAAAACTTTGGAATAAACCAGGCTGAAAGACATCACTATGTATTCAAATCTCCTGTACCTTGTATCAAAGATTCATGCCCTTCTTTCATTCTGATTAGGTTGTAAGCACTTCTCAAGTCTAGTTTTGTAAAAGGGATCTTTTTAGTAACTAGTTTAGTAGATCTGAGATACGTGGGAGTGAATAATGGTGTCTAATCAGTGCTTTTTTTGTAAGAAAAAAAGGTGCTGGAACTCACACATGTTATACAACCCGCCTTGCCTACCCTGCAAGGATCCATCCAAAAAAGGTGCCGGAACTCCGTTCTGGGCGTTCTATGACAAAAAAAAGCCCTGTGTCTAATTGTCACTTTGTTCAGTTCCTTGTAGTCATGAATTGTGTGCATTTGGGTTCTCTCCTTTCCCTTTAGATTTTTTGTCCCAAAGGTGCCTTTTCCAAATGATTTGCTTTTCATCCAAGAAGCTTCTTCAGTTCTAGCTCAGTTCTTCAGTTCTACAATTAATGTAGTAACTAAATTATAAAACAAATGTTACCAATATAAATTCAACAACAATATAATAACTCCAAGTAGCCAGGTTTATTGTATCTCCTGCCTTAGTCCCTAAATGTATATTTTAAAAACTATTGCTTTTAAAAGCTTCCTAAATCCTAGGGTATGGTTCTTTCATTTGGTGGAAGATAATTTCCCATTCTGTGTAGCAGGTTTAGATAGTTAATTGGTGGCTAGCTAATGATTACTATAGGAATAGAAGAAACTAATTGTTGCAGTACTAATAGCAATAGAAAGATGCAATGTATTGTGAATTTCATTAAAATGTTGCCATTTAAAATATTTCAGAGGTTTCAGTTTTTTATCAGATGTCTTTCTTTCTTTCTTTCTTTCTTTCTTTCTTTCTTTCTTTCTTTCTTTCTTTCTTTCTTTCTTTCTTTCTTTCTTTCTTTCTTTCTTTCTTTCTTTCTTTCTGCATTTTTTATACACAGGGTTGAACAGAAAAGTTACCAGTTAATGAGGGAGGAATCATTTTTTTGAATCTAGAACTAATCATTGTGCTTACCTATTGTCAGGCATTAAATACTGGAATTCAACAATTGCTGTTAATTTTCTTATTTGGGCAGCTTCGGAATATACATATATTTGGCTGGATGCACAGCATTACGGTCTAAATACAGTAAAACTCTAGTTCTCTGGAAAGAACTATTCAGCAGAAAGTTATGGAATGGAATGTGTAATAAAAATAGTAGAAGAAAGAATTTCTATGTTGCTTAGACAGTGGGAGAGTGTCTTAGCTTCTATAGCAAGAATGTCAATGGATCTCAAAATATATCTTATACAACAAAATAGGCTTAAGTGCCAGACATTTCTTACAAAGTTGTGGTTAATATGAGAAAAATGTTTTAAAATTCAAATTTTGGAGTGCATGAGAGTGCATACCCTCAAAAATCAATTAGATAAATTTGATGTGTATTTTTTATTTCTTGTCTTTTA